TGGGGTCTGCTGCCCTACTCTTGGGAAAGCGAAAGATGCACTGCCCCTTAAAAAAAGATGGCAAACAGCAACTAACTAAGGATTGGCTGAAACTGGAAAAAAAGTTGCAGATATCACAGTCTAGCTTTAAACCACAACATGCCACCTGCACTTTCAAGGGTCAGTGTAGAAGAAGACGAATTTTACTAGTGCGACTGACGCTCATTTAAACAAACAAAAAAAACAAAAACAAAAACGAGTGAAATGTCAGGAATTTCTGTGTGTGTGTCATGATATGGCAGGATATGATAGGGAGATAAGAGTTTTTTTTAAATCATTTTTATTTTCTGGAAATTCAGATTGTGCTTCTTCTATTTTTGATTTGCATTCACCAGCTGTAAACTCCGCTAGAAACTTCTGATTTTTTTTTTGGGGTCTACTTTTTTTTTACTGGTCTTGTTCCAGAACTAGTGTTTGCCCACACATCTATTTTACAGATGTAGCTTATTTTTTTTTTTTTTGATGCATCACAGTATTCAGGACATTCCTGTAAGCGCTCTGTCCCCATCTTCAGCAGCAAGTGAAGAGTACAAGTTTTGATGGTACCAGTAACAGTCTGATTGTACATCCGTTTCCGCTTTCCCTTGAAAGTCGGCCAGATCTCCATGATCTCTCCTTACAGCGCCATTCTTCTTAGACCGTAATGATCTATTTGTGCCTACACACTACTCAAAAAAGACATCTATACAACATCTATACTTGCATGCCTCATTACACCAAGTCTGCCTCTCTTAGATTCAACTTCAGAATCCGAATTTACACGGTTTTGTAATTAATAAAAAGCCAAATAGTAGATAACAGCTGACTATCGAGTCTTAAAATGATTAGTGAGTGAAACTTGACGCCCCTTTGTTTATAGCAGCTGTCTTACAGTTCCCAATCAATGAATCGTAATTAGTTTTGCCCAAGTCTTGTCCGTTATATATCGTATCTCGATCTTTTCTTATAAAATATTGCATAGACTAGAAATAACTTCGCTGCATCAAAGATAAAAAATAAAAAAGTATGAAAATGTGGAATTTATTTGAAAAACAAACAAACAATAGTTACATCTTTTGATGTGGTCTTTTTATATGTTCGTTTTCTGGTACAGCCAGTGATCATACTTGTCACTGCAATCATCACAATATGTCCTTTTCAGGACGTAATTTTTTGTTATTTGAAGCCCCACTCTGGCTTTTGCCAGGGGCCGCAATTTAGGCAGGCCATAAATATGGCCCATTGTCTGAACGCGGTTTCTGGGACCTCTCCACGGTGATCATCACCCACATGGTGGGCTTTGTGTCATCGGGTGTTTATCGCTTGTGTGATGTCCTAGTGGGGTAAAAATTTATTCATTCATTCATTGTCACTGCAGCAACATCAGTAAAATCTACAGTAAAGGGCCCTTTCGCACGCCTTAAGGCATATAGCGCTAGACCTGCATTTTATATATCAATAGGGACTTGATGGGTGATGTGGTCAAAATTACGCTAGCCGGCCTTACTTCCCAGGACTTTACCTAGTACCCACTGAAGGCTGGGTCGACCTGGAAACCAAAGTCATTTAAAGAAACAAAAAAAGCATGGCTCTGCAATGATCGGAGCCCACGACCTTCTGAGCATCTAGCCGCTATACCACAGCACCAGAAGCGTTAGAGATTTCATAGAATGACAAACAGGAGACTTGGACACGACAGGCCGTTGTTCATAGGTAGACAATAATAAAAAGCAGACCACAACGACACCAAAAAAAAAAAAAAAAAAACGTAGATGCTTTCAATTAACTAAATAAAGCAGAACATTGTGCAAGAGTGTGGAATATATAAATGTGGTTCTGTGTGGGAAAGTCCAGGATTTAATGTATTCACCAATACAGGATTTCAAGAGGTAGACAAAGACACACTAGTTTGAGAATGGAGGTGGAGGCAGTCACTGCTGCCTTTCGCTGGCTTGAAAATCAGCTGCACACACATGCCGTGATTGTAAGTGACTCACAGAGCATGTTGGGAAAGGTGAAAACAGGCATGCTTCGTGCAGAGTGGCAAGCATCACTTCAGTGGTCCTGGTAGTTAGTATCCTTTGGATATTTTTTCCAGGTCATGCCGGTGTGTTGGGAAATAAGCAGACTGATAGATTTGCTGGCTCTGCACCACTTGGTGGTGAACTGTATGCCAGGTTAAATATTGTGAGGACCCTTTGGGAGCGAGTGAACAGTGCAGAGGCACAGATAGATCATTATGGTCTAAGGAAAAGGGCGCTGCAAGAAGTTACACAAGGATTTTGCCGATGCTCAAAACTCAGGGTTAAAATAAGACGAATGTACAATCCGACGGTTAGTGCTACCATTGGAATTGGAACTCTTTGCTTGCGGCAGAAGATGGGTACTAAGCACTTATGGGAGCGTCCCGAGCGCTGTCGATTCTTAATTCAATAACATTCAACCAAGAACTCTTCTATCTACGGCCGAGCACTCAGAAGACCTCAAATCGCCCTAGACACTCAGAGAGGTGAAAGAAGAAGTGAAGAAGATGAAAAGGAATCGACAGGGTGGGTTTCAGAGCCAGGTTTTGGAGATCAACATTAATAGAAATTATCATCATCAAGGTGTCTTGCCGACTGGTGTGGGTGATCACACAGAGAGAGAGAAGACACAGGGAGACAGAGACAGACATACAGGGAGAGACAGAGACAGGCATATAAAGACAGATAAGGAGATACAGAGAGAAAAGAGAATGACAAAGAGAGAGAGAGAGACAGAGAGAGAGAGAGAGACAGAGAGAGAGACAGAGAGAGAGACACACACACAGAGGCAGAGACAGAGACACACAGAGAGAGAGAGAGAGACACACAGAGACAGAGAGAGAGACAGAGAGACAAAGAGAGAGAGAGAGACACACACACACACACACACACAGAGAGAGAGAGAGAGAGAGAGAGAGAGAGAGAGAGAGAGAGAGAGAGAGAGAGAAATTCTTCAAATTCTGAATATCGAGGTGGAACTAGTTCAGAAGTAGAACTGTGTCTGAACACAGCAAAATGGAAACAACAGGGATCACATTCTTAAAGAGAAAAAAATATAGGGTGGTGATGGAGTAAGGAGGTTTTCAAGCGTGCCGTAATGAGAGCGACATTCTGCAAAAGGCCTCTAGAACAAAGATAATTATTCTTATTATTCTGTTTTAGTAAACAAAATAATAAATAAAAGACCTATGAAACGCCATACAATCCGTATGCTTCTGTCGTTGGTAAAAAGCTCTCTTGTCATATTTAATTTCCTTAGTTTTCGGGGTCTACGTAGCCTACAGTTTGAAAGTCCCTGCTACTTACCGTGTATCCAGCCATATTGCCAGTGGTAAGTGACTCAAGCTGGTGTAAAGAAGGTTTGCCTCGAGTTGTCTGATCATTGTTTTCGGCCACTCGATACTGCCGTGCAGGGTAAATATTTGCTTTCAGATTTACTAACGTTCTTTGGGCATTCGCTGATGAATTTTGTTGTTCTAGCTTTAATGTAAATGTTAAACAGATAGAACGGTAACATAGACGGAGGATTACCACGCAAATATGGACCGTGGAAATGTCGGAGACCCTGAAAAGAAATTACACACGAAGCAAACAGAATTGTTAGTTTCATAGATCTCTTCCTGCTCTAACGCTGTGAGACATCTCAAGGGCAGAGAAAAGAACACACACACACACACACACACACAGAGAGAGAGAGAGAGAGAGAGAGAGAGAGAGAGAGAGAGAGAGAGAGAGAGAGAGAGAGAGAGAGAGAGAGAAGCAGAAGTTTTTCATTTATTATCGTTCTTTTGGCACTGTTTTAATGTAAGTGTTTGTAGCGTCCTTAGTCATCTATTGCTGCGTATGTCTTATTATTTTTCTCACATGGTACTCACATCTTCAAAACAATGTTCTGCTAAGGATTGAAATCACGAACATCGACCTCCTTGCAAAGGATTTAATCTCTTATGGCTCGTTCTCTCTCTACAGAAAGACTGACCGTCGGCCGAGAGCGTCTCACAAAGCACGAAACCATAACTTCGGCGACGATCTGCAGGGATCTCCGTAAAAAGTGTACTCTTGGGGCGAAGAGCTTATACGTTTCGCCATACACTCTGGAGGTTGGTGGTTTGGTTTTGGACTACGTTGTTCAGTTTACCTGTGCAAGTTTAATGGAGATCACTGGAGTTCGTCGCAGGAGTTAAGAGAGTCCATGCTCTAAGGCCACTGTGCTGACAGTGACCAATCAACATGGAATAAAAGAAGAAGAAAAAAGAAAAAGAAAAAAAAATCGATCTTCTTGTACGTTAATACTTTTACACTACTGTAGATTTATTCATGTCAAACTTTACTGTAAACAAATAGGTCTAAAACTGAGAATTGGGCACGACAGAATATCAAACTTCCAAGTTATTTTTGCTTCCGACAGCCCTTTGCTAATGCAGTTTTTTCATATAGACCTTATTCTACGGTTTCGCCCCCTGAGCTACTAAGTTTAGTGCTTGGATGCGCTGTGTTTTTAAAATGTGGAATGTCTTTCATTTGTGCAACGGTTGTGTCGTATTATTCGATATGACCGGTAGCCTATTTACGTTTGAGCTGGTCAAATACCGTATGAAATAATCATAACTAATTTATCGTGCCTAACTATTTTCATCAACGACAAACTGCGTTTCTGGTGGCGACTGTTGGCTTAGCGCTTCTAGCAACTGCCTTAAGCGCATATTTCTGGATTGCTCCGGAACTTGTTTCTTCATAAGTTTTACAAATGAGACAGTGAGAGACATTTCATTTGATTTTCACTGGCACAAGAACGGAGCAAATATTTACAGTGAAGTTGAAACGTTAACTTGGATCAAGACTCAGTCTGTAAATATGACACTGATTGATAATACGGTGATTGTTATGTTTCTTCTCTACATTTCTAAACATTACCCGCTGACTAAATTGTAAAGCTGATTTCTTGTTGTCCCCTTGCAGATGAGGACAATTTACCTGCTGTTTCTGCTGAGCCTGTTTGGTGTCCTCTCCGTGGCAGGTTAGACAACTAGACATCTATCAGTCGATCCGGTGCTGTCTGCAACAAGAAGTTTGGCTTTAATGGATCTTTAACATGGCATCTCGCCTGGCTGTATACTCTCTCAAACTTTCATTTATCCATCTCTTGATAACGTCCCCCTGCGTGTATCGTTATCTCATTTCTGCTTGTTTGCTTTGAGCTTTACCTTCAAGTATGATATTCAAGGGCTTAGGCGCTAAGAGTTCCACTCGTAATTCTAACGTACCGCGATCGAAACCCACTGCTGGCAGCATAGATTTTTCTCATGGTATGGGGCGTCGTAGGTCCACCCAGTCTAAAATGGGTACATGATGTATGTCCTGGGGAAGTAAAGACGGCCGGCGTAATCTGACCACATTACCCACCTAGTGCCGAATGGTCTGTAAAAATATAGGTGCTTTTCCCATATGCCCGAAGCGCCTAAAGGCGTGAAAAGGGATCTTTACTTAAAAAAAAAAAATGATATTCAAGAGATTTTTTTTTCAATTAGTGGAAATATGTCAATTGTTTCTTTATATTTTTTCATGAAGCAACCCTTTTCTTTTCATTCCAGTCTCTTCAAAACTTGTAAATGTGAATGTTTTCTTATTCTTTATGATCTATCACCATTTATCATCCTCCTGTTGTGCTTTTATACGCCACACAGGTCCTGTTGTATAAACGCACCATTTCATTATGTCCTGTGCATAATCAAAAGTCGTCCCCATGTGGGATGCAATTTTTTTTGCCGGGGGCCCTTTATATAGCAGACGGGGCATAGATATGGCCTTGCCATAGATGTGGCTAACGTCTGAAAGGGGTTTCTGTGACCTATCCCCGGGTCATCCTCATCCGCATGGTGGCACTTTGTGTCAGGGGTCAGGGGAGGGGGCGAAGCTTCCTTACACATTTCTGTAGGAGAGGGAGGCGGGGGGAGAGAGAGAGCGTGGGGGATGTTAAACCCATTAAAGGATTTCTCTGAACTCAGGAAAGTATTGATGATGTTGTGGGGAAACATCCTAATTCTAGCAGGTACATTTCATGGCTAAAGTACATTTAAAAGAAAACAATTGTTAGTGAGATAGATTTAGTTTCAAACAGAACTGTGGGATTTCAGGATTTTGACGCATACACTAAACAAAGTGGTCAAGCGCAACATTCAGAGGATCATCAGAGGTCCTTGGTAGTTAGAATCCTTTGGCTATTTTCTCCAGGTGATGCTGGTGTGTTGGAAAATGAGCAGGCAGATAGATTGGCTGTTGTTGTGAGAGCCCTTTGGGAGCGAGTGAATAGTGCCGAGGAACATATAGATCATTACGGTCTGAGAAGAATGGCACTACAATGAGTATACAAGGGGATCTGGCCGACGCTTGACACTCAGGGGAAAGGCGAGACGTATCTACAGTCAGACAGTTACTGGTACAATCGGAATTTTAACTCTAAGCTTGCTGCTGAAAATGGGGACCGAGTGTTTATGGGTGTGTCCCGAGTGTTATGATGTCGATTTGTAATTCAACATTCAACATCCGAGGTCATAAATTGGGGAAAGGGGGGGGGGGGAATCTTGTATGGTCAGTTGACAAGATACTGGATTTAACCGTCTTCGCATTTGAGTGTGTGTGTGTGTGTATATATATATATATATATATATATATATATATATATATATATATATATATATATATATATATATATACATGTGTGTGTATCTGTATCACATTGCATACCCCCTCCCACTCTCCGCCAAATTTATTTTCGAAACGCATTGACCTATAAATAGTTATAAGGGATGTTTTTTTTTTAAACGGGGGTAATCGAAACAGTTATTTAACTATGCCTGACTTGCCAGCACTACTCGAAATATTAGAGAGAGAGAGAGAGAGAGAGAGAGAGAGAGAGAGAGAGAAAGAAAGAAAAAAAAGAAAGAAAAAAAGAAAGAGAGATAGAGAGAGAGAGAGAGAGAGAGAGAGAGAGAGAGAGAGAGAGAGAGAGAAGAGGATGGGCATTGGGCATGCACGGGATATGGCAACTACTGATTAAGTTAAAATACAAGACCAGTGACATATTAGGAAGACAAATCTAGAATCTCCTTTAATAGCAAGATCACTTCATTGAAATGTAACGAATAATGTAGCTTAAACATGAAAAACTAACAAACAAAAACTGAACCCTTGTACGACCTTTATGGCCAGAACCATATTTAATGCGTTACAGAAAACTCAGGAAAACAGCACGGACACGTAACCAGACACAAGGCGGGAGGTGGACGGCTCACGCCCTGTCAAAGAGCGAGGCATCATGGGAACAAAACAATCGGAAACAGATCTGTTCATAACAAATCGGAGAGTCACCAACCAAAGGGTGAGAAGAAAGTATTTATATAATCACGCCGAACTTTCCACGGATTATCAAACAGCGAATTATCAGTTAGGATAACCAGTTAAAAACACGGCCAAGACAAACGCCCACATGAAAAAAAAATTTAAACTTACATTCACATTAACTGAAGTTTTAGTCTTGGATCATAAAGTAAATAAAATAGAATGACAGAAGTGATTTAAATAAGTAAAAACTGAAAAGCATTCTACAACTTCTGCAATCGTGAAAAAAAAAGTATTACGAATGTCCTATGCTGTACAAGATAATAATCAATAGCAACATCTGAGAGAAGGTTAGAACAAGACCAGTGAATAAAATACTTCTAGGCGCAGGGAAGCAAATGGTTCGGCCATCTAGTAAAAACATAGTCAAACGAAATTAAATATGTATTACAGAAAAACATCTGGGTCTAAGGATGAGAGGTAGACAACGGAAAAACGTAGAGTGTAACGAAACGTTATAAAAAGATGAACAAAACCATCTGCAGGCGTGTAACAGAAAAAATGGGAAACCAAAAAAAAAAGGTGTCAGAGCGGGGTGCAGATGAGGGTGGGGGAAAAGGAATAGGATCGTGAGAGAGGGAGAATATAAATAGCCAAAATAATTCCAAGAATGTAGGAAAAATAATCATACCTAAGAGTTAACGCAGCCTTTTTTTTTTTCCAGAAGCCATGAGTTGTTAACCCTTAGTCTCGGTATTATGGATATCGCAATCCTTCGGCATTGATTCCATGATAAATACCGTAAATCTGGAAGAAAATGTGGCTTTTTTGTCTACCACCGGACGTGAACCCGGACCACAAGGTGTTCGTCAACAGGTTACCTCGCAATCCGGTTTAGCCAACTGTGCTAGCGAGCCGGGCAAAGCAGCACGGTTAATATTAAGAACTGCCAACTGGTAATCTACCCTGGAATATAATGCAGAAACTGGCGACTACGAACAAGCAAACAGAAAGTCGAAATGAGAGCTTGAAGATGTGGGTTTACGAAAGAATGGGTTGCATTTCATCTGAGCCAGAACAATGAAACACAGAAATTCCAGAGCAGTGTTTCTCAACCTTTATAATGCCGCGATCCTTTTATACAGTTCCTCATGTTTTGGTGACCCCAATTATTTTTGTTGCCACTTCATAACTTCAGTGAACAATATGTTTTCCGATGGTTTTAGGCGACCCCTTGTGAAAAGGTTGTTCGACCCCCTAAAGGGTGCGACCCACAGGTTGAGAAGCGCTGTTTTAGGGAAACTAGTTATAAACATAGTTATTGAAAGAATGGGGGTGGGAAGGGGGTGGGAGCAAGTGAAACATTTCTGTAACTTCAAAATGCATAACTCTCTCTCTCTCTCTCTCTCTCTCTCTCTCTCTCTCTATATATATATATATATATATATATATATATATATATATATATATATATATATATATATATATATATATATATATATATGTATTTAAAAAATAATGTGTGAAACTGAAGGCAAGCGAGCAAGACAGTGGGAAGATGGTATCTACGTGTGGATACTCAGCAGGCTGAGTGTAAGACCAGGTCGCGAAATAACATATGTCGCAGACAAACATACAGACATACAGACAGACAGACAGACAGACAGACAGACAGACAGACAGACAGACAGACAGACAGACAGACAGACAGACAGACAGACAGACAGACAGACAGACAGACAGACAGACAGACAGACGGACGGACAGACGGACAGACAGACAGACAGACAGACAGACAGACAGACAGACGGACGGACGGACGGACGGACGGACGGACGGACGGACAGACAGACAGACAGACAGACAGACAGACAGACAGACAGACAGACAGACAGACAGACAGACAGACAGACAGACAGACAGACAGACAGACGGACGGACAGACAGACGGACGGACAGACAGACGGACAGACGGACAGACGGACAGACAGACGGACAGACGGACGGACGGACGGACAGACAGACAGACAGACAGACAGACAGACAGACAGACAGACAGACAGACAGACAGACAGACAGACAGACAGACAGACAGACGGGCAGACAGACGGGCAGACAGACGGGCAGACAGACAGACAGACAGACAGACAGACAGACAGACAGACAGACAGACAGACAGACAGACAGACAGACAGACAGACAGACAGACAGACAGACAGACAGACAGACAGACGGGCAGACAGACAGACAGACAGACAGACAGACAGACAGACAGACAGACAGACAGACAGACAGACAGACAGACAGACAGACAGACAGACAGACAGACAGACAGACAGACAGACAGACAGACAGACAGACAGACAGACAGACAGAGAGAATTATTTATATGCTTCAATGTACTAATCTAAATATTTTGTTTTGTTTTTACAGACAAGAGCCATTTTGGCGATGGAGACACAGCAAGAGCTGCCAACGTCCGCAGTAAGACATTGCCTATTGTAGTGTTATTAACTTATTGATTACTCTCTAAGTTCCAAAACACTGAAGAGTCGGTAGAAAGTGCTATATTGCCCAAGCTACGTAGTCACCCCGCTAAGTGGTTTTTATAAACTAGTCACGTGATGAGGACACAATTTATGTTTAATGTTTATGTTTAGACTACGGATCAACATCATAGCACACGGGTGTAACCCATAAGTGCTCCGTTCTTCTTCTAACTCAAGCCTGAGTCTGAAGAATTACAACGTAGTGAACAAACTCTGTGGCGAAGATCCTGAAATTCTGTGGGTGAATTTTTAACTAAGGGATAAATCTAATAAATGTCTTACGTGCGCGACAATACACACGGGCGTTCGGTCTTAGTACACAGAGACCAGGGGAAAATTACTAGAAGTCTACGTGAAAAAAAAACCCTCACTGGGGCTTGAACCCGGGACCTCTTGCACTCGGGGCGGACACCGTGCCTAGAGACCACACAGGTTCCCTTTGTTGTGACGACCCCCCATTATAGAAATATTTTCGTTGCTACTTCATAACTCCAGCGAATATATGTTTTCCGATGGTCGTAGAAGACCCACGTGAAAGGAGTCGTTCGACCTGAAAATGTGTCGCGACCCACAGGTTGAGAACCACTGCCTTATAGAATCTGTTTATGAATATACATATATTATGAAAAATAGATAAATACATAGCATGTGTTATTTCTTGAAAGACTGGTCACTACTTTCGCTATGCTATAGATAGACAATCCAAAACTGGTGAAAATATGGGGGAGACTGCAGTCAAGCTAATACACAGGAATTCCAGAGAAATTAGACAAAAAGCTCAACAAAATGGGGAAGCAGAAAAACATGCACAACACAACGTAACGCTTCGGCCGTTTCTCTGGAATGCCTGTGCTATAGATAGAGTAGTTAGGAAAACCCACACAGCATGCGTACTTCACTCAAAATTATGCCTGTGCGAAATGCCCAGACACCAACTGCTGCAAAGAGCAATGTTGAAGACGTGCAATGAACAAAGCGCGGGAAGGCCACACAGAACATGGAACGATGACATCAAGAACAGCATTCAAGAAACAAGGACCAACATATACAACATAATGGAAAGACCACACAGACGATTCTTAATCTTCCTGCAACCCTTCGATGAAGTAAGTGAAGGAAGAAAAGAAGAAGAAGAAAAAGCCAGATAGTTAAGCATCAAAGAAAATGTGTATCTGATGTGTAACAGTCCACCAGACAGCAGGCTATAGGCAAACGTTATGACCGAAGCCAAATGGCAAGAATAATAATAATAACAAATAATAATAAAAAAAATTCTCTTGAGTTAATGTTAAGGACATAAATAATAAAAAAGAATTTCAAAGAATTTCAAAAACCTACAGCAACATAGGTAGGTAAGTAAGTTGTACCCCACCTGGACATCACACAAGCTATAAATACCTGGTGACACAAAGTGCCACTATGCGGATAAGGATCACCCATGGAGAGGTCCCGGAAACCCCGTTCAGCCGTTAAGCCATATTTATGGCCCGGTTATATTTTGCCCCCCGGCAAACGCCAGAGTGGAGCTTCAAATAACAAAAAATTCCATCCCACATGGGGACGACTTCGTAGTAATAATAAAATTATAATGGCTTATCATTCTAGAATTGTTTTTCACTGATGCAACTTTCCGGACTAAGACTGGAGAATGGAGATACTCTCTCTCAACATATTATCTGGACAGACCAAGTGCAGCTGTAAGTTTTATATTGTGCAATCTATTGGTTTTTAGTCCTTAATAAAGAGAATAGGGGCTTTCGAGCTGAAATGCTATAGAAAGATTCTCAGAATATCTTGGACAAAGAAAAGGAGAAATATTGACATCTTGAAAGATCTGAACATTAAAGAAGATTGGCTAATAAACAGCATCCTTTCTCGAAAGCTGAAATATTTTGGTAATATCAAGCGTCACGACGCATTGGAGAAAAAAGGGATGGTACCAGTAAGGAGGGGCAGGTGCCGATCAACACGAAGATAGACACAGGATATAAGTGACTCCTTGATATGAAAGTACATGAGGCGGGAGAGCTGGTGAGAGACCGAGTTTCTTTCAGGCAGACTGTGATGAGAGCAACGTTCTGCAAAGGATCTGCTACATAATGATGCTGAGTCTACTTCAGGTGAATTGTTAGATCTTTGCATATTCTTGGCCACTGTATAATAAAGCGGATGATCAATATAATGTTTCGCGACCTTTCTTTTCTATTTTATCACTGCTTAATTGAGCCCTACGAGAAAAATTAATTCTCAGGAGCTATATAAATCATATCCTTATATACGAAAGTGAATCATGGACAGTTGGGCGAATAGTTTTGAAAAAAAAAAATGAAATCGGCCTAGATGGGCTTTAATAGACGAATGATGCGACTACCCTGGACAGGTAGAAAGAGTAACAAAGACATCTTGAAAGAAATGACTGAAGAAAAGAACTGATTGCTCACATCAGAAGTAGACAATCTACATCCTTTGGTCGCGTGATAAGCAGGAGAAAACTGGAATACATCGTGACAGCAGAAAAGCTGTGGAAGGGGAGAGGGGGAGAGAGAAGATGCTGGCCAGTTTGACATTGTGGCATGGGAGTTCTTCTGTGTCAGAAGTAATTGAAAGTACAGAAGTGACTAATACATATTAATATATTAATACGTTGTTGTTGTGCATCTCTCTCTCTCTCTCTCTCTCTCTCTCTCTCTCTCTCTCTCTCTCTCTCTCTCTCTCGCGCTATATATATATATATATATATATATATATATATATATATATATATATATATATATATATATATATATATTCCTTTCTTATTTTCTCTACTCCTGGAATCTGGAATGCCTCGCGGCGCCAGGGCAGAAAAAAATTCTTTTGAACGGACCCTTCTGTTCGCGTGCACTGGGTCGCAAATTATTCCTCCCCAAGCCGCTTAACGGTAGAAGTGGTTTATGATGATGATGATGACGATGATGATTATAATGATGATCGCACCCAGTCTCAGTGGCACTTCGTTTCTCTCCGTCTCTCTCTCAATCTCTCTCTCCAGATATATATATATATATATATATATATATATATATATATATATATATATATATATTATATATATATAAATATGGCGGTTATGGATATATATATATATATATATCTTTATTTATATTTCACTCTCGACATCTCAGTTGTTGTTTTCTTCATCTCTCTTGCTAAGACTTTGTATATCCCTTACCCTTTCTGCTCATCTCTTCTACTCCTCCTCGTATCTAAGAAATCATAATTATCAGTATGAATATTTTTTTTTTTTTTTATATTTTATTTCGTATTTGTAGTTTGCTTGCAAAAAGCTGGGAGGACAACTGGCACAAATCTCATCCGAGGATAAGTACATCTTCATAACGAACTGGCTAGGTATAAGATAGTGTCACATCGTATGTATATTACGCAAACGCTTACACATGAACCTGTTTCTCCCTCTGATTCTTGTTCTGATTACTTTCTTCTTCTAGATCCTACTCTTTTTCTGATTTTCTTTTCCTTCTTCCTACGTCTCTTCTTCTGCCTGTAATAATAAGATGTGTAACTGCATAACTCTCTCTCTCTCTCTCTCTCTCTCTCTCTCTCTCTCTCTCTCTCTCTCTCTCTCTCTCTCTCTCTCTCTCTCTCTCTCTCGCTTGTTGTACCCCACCATGGCATCACACAAGCAATAAACACCCGGTGACACAAACTGCCACCGTACGGATGAGAATCACCCGTGGAGAGGTCTCAGGAAACCATTTTAGCCTTTATGATTATATTTATGGCCCGTCTATATTCAGGGCCCCGGCAAAAGCCAGGGTTGGACTTTAAAAAAAAAAAATTGCATTCCACACGGGGACGGCTGTTTTTAATTGCGTTATTGGATGTTTTTGTAATACTGAGGTAAACAAATACAAGTATAACACTGGGGTGTATAACTGTAATAGTGGGCTCAGTGGTTATAGTTAAATTAGGATTTGTTATTGTAATAGTGGGCTCAGTGGTTATAGTTAAATTAGGATTTGTTATTGTAATAGTGGGCTCAGTGGTTATAGTTAAATTAGGATTTGTTATTGTAATAGTGGGCTCAGTGGTTATAGTTATATTAGGATTTGTTATTGTAATAGTGGGCTCAGTGGTTATAGTTAAATTAGGATTTGTTATTGTAATAGTGGGCTCAGTGGTTATAGTTATATTAGGATTTGTTATTGTAATAGTGGGCTCAGTGGTTATAGTTAAATTAGGATTTGTTATTGTAATAGTGGGCTCAGTGGTTATAGTTAAATTAGGATTTGTTATTGTAATAGTGGGCTCAGTGGTTATAGTTAAATTAGGATTTGTTATTGTAATAGTGGGCTCAGTGGTTATAGTTAAATTAGGATTTGTTATTGTAATAGTGGGCTCAGTGGTTATAGTTAAATTAGGATTTGTTATTGTAATAGTGGGCTCAGTGGTTATAGTTATATTGGGATTTGTTACTGTAATAGTGGGCTCAGTGGTTATGGTTATATTGGGATTTGTTACTGTAATAGTGGGCTCAGCGGTTATGGTTAAATTAGGATTTGTTATTGTAATAGTGGGCTCAGTGGTTATAGTTATATTAGGATTTGTTATTGTAATAGTGGGCTCAGTGGTTATAGTTAAATTAGGATTTGTTATTGTAATAGTGGGCTCAGTGGTTATAGTTATATTGGGATTTGTTACTGTAATAGTGGGCTCAGTGGTTATGGTTATATTGGGATTTGTCACTGTAATAGTGGGCTCAGCGGTTATGGTTAAATTAGGATTTGTTATTGTAATAGTGGGCTCAGTGGTTATAGTTATATTAGGATTTGTTATTGTAATAGTGGGCTCAGCGGTTATGGTTAAATTAGGATTTGTTATTGTAATAGTGGGCTCAGTGGTTATGGTTAAATTAGGATTTGTTATTGTAATAGTGGGCTCAGTGGTTATGGTTATATTGGGATTTGTTACTGTAATAGTGGGCTCAGCGGTTATGGTTAAATTAGGATTTGTTATTGTAATAGTGGGCTCAGTGGTTATAGTTATATTAGGATTTGTTATTGTAATAGTGGGCTCAGTGGTTATGGTTATATTGGGATTTGTTACTGTAATAGTGGGCTCAGCGGTTATGGTTAAATTAGGATTTGTTATTGTAATAGTGGGCTCAGTGGTTATAGTTATATTGGGATTTGTTACTGTAATAGTGGGCTCAGTGGTTATGGTTATATTGGGATTTGTTACTGTAATAGTGGGCTCAGCGGTTATGGTTAAATTAGGATTTGTTATTGTAATAGTGGGCTCAGTGGTTATAGTTATATTAGGATTTGTTATTGTAATAGTGGGCTCAGCGGTTATGTTTAAATTAGGATTTGTTATTGTAATAGTGGGCTCAGTGGTTATGGTTAAATTAGGATTTGTTATTGTAATAGTGGGCTCAGTGGTTATGGTTAAATTAGGATTTGTTATTGTAATAGTGGGCTCAGTGGTTATGGTTAAATTAGGGTTTGTTATTGTAAAAGTGGGCTCAGTGGTTATGGTTAAATTAGGATTTGTTATTGTAATAGTGGGCTCAGTGGTTATGGTTAAATTAGGGTTTGTTATTGTAAAAGTGGGCTCAGTGGTTATGGTTAAATTAGGATTTGTTATTGTAATAGTGGGCTCAGTGGTTATAGTTATATTGGGATTTGTTATTGTAATAGTGGGCTCAGTGGTTATAGTTAAATTAGGGTTTGTTATTGTAAAAGTGGGCTCAGTGGTTATGGTTATATTGGGATTTGTTACTGTAATAGTGGGCTCAGTGGTTATGGTTATATTGGGATTTGTTATTGTAATAGTGGGCTCAGTGGTTATGGTTATATTGGGATTTGTTATTGTAATAGTGGGCTCAGTGGTTATAGTTATATTAGGATTTGTTACAGTAATAGTGGGCTCAGTGGTTATAGTTATATTAGGATTTGTTACTGTAATAGTGGGCTCAGTGGTTATAGTTATATTAGGATTTGTTACTGTAATAGTGGGCTCAGTGGTTATAGTTATATTAGGATTTGTTATTGTAATAGTGGGCTCAGTGGTTATAGTTATATTAGGATTTGTTATTGTAATAGTGGGCTCAGCGGTTATGGTTATATTGGGATTTGTTATTGTAATAGTGGGCTCAGCGGTTATAGTTATATTGGGATTTGTTACTGTAATAGTGGGCTCAGTGGTTATAGTTATATTAGGATTTGTTACTGTAATAGTGGGCTCAGTGGTTATATTTATATTAGGATTTGTTATTGTAATAGTGGGCTCAGTGGTTATAGTTATATTGGGATTTGTTACTGTAATAGTGGGCTCAGTGGTTATAGTTATATTGGGATTTGTTACTGTAATAGTGGGCTCAGTGGTTATAGTTATATTGGGATTTGTTACTGTAATAGTGGGCTCAGTGGTTATAGTTATATTAGGATTTGTTATTGTAATAGTGGGCTCAGTGGTTATAGTTATATTGGGATTTGTTACTGTAATAGTGGGCTCAGTGGTTATAGTTATATTGGGATTTGTTACTGTAATAGTGGGCTCAGTGGTTATGGTTATATTGGGATTTGTTATTGTAATAGTGGGCTCAGTGGTTATAGTTATATTGGGATTTGTTATTGTAATAGTGGGCTCAGTGGTTATAGTTATATTAGGATTTGTTATTGTAATAGTGGGCTCAGCGGTCATGGTTATATTGGGATTTGTTATTGTAATAGTGGGCTCAGTAGTTATGGTTATATTGGGATTCGTTATTGTAATAGTGGGCTCAATGGTTGTGGTTATATTGGGATTCGTTATTGTAATAGTGGGCTCAATGGTTGTGGTTATATTGGGATTCGTTATTGTAATATTGGGCTCAGTGGTTATGGTTATATTGGGATTTGTTATTGTAATAGTGGGCTCAGTGGTTATGGTTAAATTAGGATTTGTTATTGTAATAGTGGGCTCAGTGGTTATGGTTATATTAGGATTTGTTATTGTAATAGTGGGCTCAGTGGTTATGGTTAAATTAGGATTTGTTATTGTAATAGTGGGCTCAGTGGTTATGGTTATATTGGGATTTGTTATTGTAATAGTGGGTTCAGTGGTTATGGTTATATTGGGATATGTTATTGTAATAGTGGGCTCAGTGGTTATGGTTATATTGGGATTTGTTATTGTAATAGTGGACTCAGTGGTTATGGTTATATTGGGATTTGTTATTGTAATAGTGGGCTCAGTGGTTATGGTTATATACAGAAGTGTAACACCCCCACCCCCCCCCCCCTTTTCCCGCAACAAAACAAATTTTTACGAGTGCCGATAAGTTCGGGCATATTTGTACTTTCAGAAACGTTGTCACCTTACGACCAACAACAGATTCACGTTGGAGGGTTTCTGGAAAGAAACTTGGTATGGACCCAGGATAATCGCGAAGACATGACCTTTCTTGTTTGGCATCAAGACGAGCCTACAGGTAACCGGGTGTGGGTGTTTGTTTACTTGGGGTGTGACCTAGTAGGTAGTCATCTTCGTCATCAATAAGCCGGTCCTTTACAGAACGTCGCTCTCATGACGGCACATTTGGAGGTCTCCTCTCTTTCTCTAGCCAATTCTCCAAACCGGTGGGTGGGGGGGGGAGGGGTGAGGGAGGCTAAGTGGTCTTAAGGCATGGCTTTCGTCTCAAGTGCTGATAAGTGCTGATAATTAAATTGATTGGAAGACAAAGACTGAAATGGTTTAGTAATTTCATGAGAATAAATCCAACGATGCCAGCAAGGTGCACATGCAACATGAAAGTTAAAAACACCAAGATGTATGGGACGACCAAAAAGAAGATGGACTGAATGAGTCACTGATACCCTGAGAATCCCTCAACAACCGAGCGTGCCTTAGCTCGGATATCGATCATCTGGTAACATGCGACGCCTACTGGAACAAAAGAGAATGTGGAAGGAATCATCCAGTTCCTCATTTCTGACACAGATGAGCCTCCATGACACGATGCCAAACTTTCCAGCATCTCCTCCTTTGGTCTTCGGCTTCTCTTCCATTTCAGTTTACCCGTTGCCACCATGTACTCCAGTTTTCCGCATTCCCACGATGCCTGCTAGAGAATGTATAGACTGTCTCCTTCTGATCACTCAAATCATCGACGTCGTCACTATCATTACCAGCATCGTCATCTGTGTCAGAAATGAGGAAAGAAAAGTGGTGATTTTTTCTGTTGTCCACATAATGTTTAGGGCCACTAGACGTCGCAGTTTCACAGATGATCGATATTCGAGCTAGGACACACTTTGTTACCTTGTATGCTCTGTTGGTGTGAAGTCTCAAGGTATCATGAAACCTAGACTAAGACAAAGACCAACATCATGTCTTTTTCTTCTGCCTTCTATCCTTCGCTATTGTAAGCAGCTCTATCCAAGTCCTCCCTATCTTTTTAACCTTGCTCTCTAGCTTTCCTAACTACTGGACGTAAATTTGCCTAGAAAAACCACACAACAGCCAGGTGCTGTTGGGGTTGGTTCTGCAACGTCCTGTAAAGGATACGCAACTAACCTCACCTCTAGCTTTCCTCTCCATGCTTTTTTTTGGGTTGTTGATCTTCTTTATTTATCAACATCATGTTCCCTGTTGACAAGCAAAGCCGGTTATGTCTGGCCACCTAACACGATCACAAAATCACGCATCAAAATTTAATTCTATAAGACTAAGCCACCGACGTATTTATCACTTTGCTCTTCCCTTTTGATCATTCATGTTTAAAATCTAAAAATGTGGCTTTAATTTCTAGTTCGCCATGTTGACACCTGGCAAGAGAGTTGTCTTCTATTGGAGAAAAGAAATGGGAAGTTCAAGATGAACGATGTCGCATGCAAAGATCTCAGGAGGCGATTTCTTTGCGAAGAGCACAAGGCTTTTTAGCATCATATATCCAGCTCAAGGATATTTGAAGTTAAATTTCGACTTCTGAAGTTTATTAATCCTTTGTTTTCCTCCATAAAATTGAGTTTTGCGTGTCACTATTGTTTTGAAACCATTTGCGGGTGAATGTTATCGTTCTTATGTCTTCTGTATAATGTTTATTTAGGAGATTTGTGTTGTTCTACCTATAGGAGATGTGTGTTGTTCTACCTATAGGAGATGTGTGTTGTTCTACCTATAGGAGATGTGTGTTGTTCTACCTATAGGAGATGTGTGTTGTTCTACCTATAGGAGATGTGTGTTGTTCTACCGATAGGAGATGTGTGTTGTTCTACCTATAGGAGATGTGTGTTGTTCTACCTATAGGAGATGTGTGTTGTTCTACCTATAGGAGATGTGTGTTGTTCTACCTATAAGACAACGGCTGCTACTACAACAAATGCTGCTACTACAACTAATGCTGCTGTTTCTAATACTGTTACTGCTACTACTTTTACTGCGGTTGCTACATTTGGTCCTACTACTGCTAATGTAATACGATTACTTCTACTGTTGTTGTTGCTGCTGCTGCTGCTTCTATCACCATCACCAAATTTTCTAGGAAGTTAAGCGGCCACCGTGATCCTAACCAGGGCATAGAATCCTGTATGATCTACACAAATATGGGCTTTTGGTTCAACTCCTCTCTTCTAAAGAACTCTACATTTACTTGACTGTGAGGGAGTAAAAAGGATTATAAGTAATGTCTTGGCAGAAAAAGTCTCTGTGAATCGATAGGTTGATTCTTTACATTATCAAATCTATGGCATTATCAACTGGGGAGGGGAGGGGAGGGAAAGGGCGAGTTGTAGTGAGCTGTGGAATGTAAGGCATTGAAGTCTAATGGGCCCAGTGTGGAAATATCCTGGTGGGCCGCCAAATATTTCTCTCCAGCCATGCAGCCAAATGAGACGAGAAAGATAATTCTCAAGAACTACATGCTGGTAAATCCTTTCCTGGCTTACGAAAATGAATCATTGACCATTGAAAGAATATTAAAAAAAAATATTTGCAAGCCGTGGAGAAAAGGTGTTCGTAGACGAAGGATGAGAATACCTTATACACGTGATAATGAAAAAAATGAAAATGTCTTGGTGGGAAAAAAGACAAACTTACAAAGAAAAGAACTATGTTTATGTTGATGTTTATTCAACTAATAACATCATGGCACAGGGTGTAACCAATAAGTCTTCCGTGCTTCTTCCAACTCAAGCCTGAGTCCGAAGAATCTCAGCGCAGTGAACAAACTTTATAGCACCGGCGAGAATCCTGAAAAACTTTGGGTAGATTTTAAACTCCAAATTTTGCTCAGGCAGCGCCGTTCGGCTACTCTTTTCGATTTCCAAATGCCAAGGGATTTTTTTACGTGCGCTACAATAGACACGAGCGTCTGATCTCACCTAGAGACCAGACGAAATTACTAGAAATCCCAGCCTTCACTGGGACTTGAACCCAAGACCTCTAGCACTCGAGGCGGACACCATGCCTCGAGACCTCGCAGCCCCCTTAAAGAAAAAGAACTGATAGGCCTCATCAGAAAGAGACAGCATACACTCTTTGGTCTTGTAATGAAAGGAAGAACACTGGAATATAACATTGCGGTGGGAACGTTGAAGGAGACAGGCAGCAGAGGAAAACAGAGAAAAAAATAATTCCCGGCAGTCTGACATCATGGCATGAAAGATCATCTGTGTCAGAACTGACTGAAAGTATACGAGTCCGAAGGCTGTGGATAGGCATGACTACCAAGGCCCCATGCCATGGCCTATGAGAAAAATAATACAGCAGCAGCTACATGTTTTCAACACTGCATTAGTGCATAGATTTTATAACGTTAAATCTACTCCAGAAATCACGTGAGCTTAAAATTATCATTGTCTGATGTACAAAACTAAAACCATTGTTATCTTAAGAGAGGAGGAGGAGAAACACCAGATCGTGATAGGACAGGATGCTTGGAGCAGGTCAACCAGTTCAGATACATTAGAGTTGTAACAGACCGAAAGAGAGGTATTAAGACAAACCTGGCTACACGAAACGTAGCTGCTGGGAGACTTTTCCAGGTCATGAAACGAGTTTTTTTTTTTAGCAAAAGAGAAATTGACCAGAAGACGAAAATGACCGTTTGCCGCTCTACCTATGTACGCTCTAAAATTCACAAAATAATTCACTCCCAATGTTCCATTGGGAACGAACAGGGTACACTTCCCGAAATCTTGACTCATATTTATCAAAGAAGGACTACTTACTTATGGAAGAAGAGTCCATATTTGAAACTATTTAATTTACTCGGGGGGAAACAAGATGTGGGCAAGTCAATCAGCATAGTGGTGTTTCACTGCTATGCGACAGTAACCATGTTGTCGAGTTTATACCTTAACATTTGTCTTCTTTTGCTTTTTATTCTCCCAAAACAGCATAGGTCCTCTGCCAACTGACGCCAAGTCGTCTTGTATGCAGCTTACTCCATATCTTTTTAACTTCATTCTCTAGCTCCCTTTTCTGTTGTGTATGTGTATGTGTGTGTGTGTGTGTGTGTGTGTGTGTGTGTGTGTGTTTGTGTGTGTTTGTGTGCGGATATCTCGCTTCATTTCTATGCCCACGTGGATTCAACTACATTCTAGTTTTACTGTTCTCAGATTTTCTCTTACAATCCCTCATCTCTTTTACTACTACATGCTTCCTACATCATACAAGGTTGTAGCATTCTTTCGTACTACATCAACATTAATTCTGTCAGAAATGCCCCCCCCCCCCCCAACCCTCTTCCTTCCCCCCCCCCGACCCCCCCCCCCCAATTTCGTCTTCTAACTTGTCCTAATAAACTAGTAGTCTGATACCAATTTTACCTGTCAATATTTGCTGTGTCTTGAAACCGGGTCTCTGTATTGATAACCAACCACCCCCCCACCCCACCTCCCACACACACACACACACCATCGCGGCCCTTTTACGTTTTCTCCTTCTTCTTCATCTTTGCGTTCACCGGCTGTCAACTCTAGTGAAAAAGTCTGGTTGTTCGCCCACCTCTGAAATGCAGTCCTGTTCCAGAACTTGAGTAATGCGTGTGCAGATCTAAAACATTTGTGTTCAGACTGTTGGTTCCTTGCCTCTCAGGCAGATGCACTCCGACTTTGAAGGAAGCTCTCAATTAGTCGACTTTTACGACATGCTTTTGGGTAGGCATTGGGTCTATTCTTGTTTTTCCTATAATAGGGATTCGGGGCTCACACAGGGGATCTTTTACTAAAATGTTAAAAACATTACAGGTTCAAGTCAAGACATCGTCTTCAGTGTCTGGGGTTTTAACCCGTATTGTTCGATCTGTCTCCACGCAACAGTTAGCGCCTGCCAAGAACGTCTACAGTGCACAAACAGAGTAGCTCCAGCGATAATCTCTATTGGTCTCCGTAAAAATTGCCCTCATGAACCCAACGAACCGGATGTGAAACGAATCCACGATCTTCAGGGCTTGAGGCAAACGTCTTGACCACTTCGCAACGGAGACCACTTTTTAATGAAATAACCTAATTCAGCCCATAAAGTCTGATTCTCCTGCAATAAAAATATAAATAGACCAAGCGGTACAAGCATCAACATCAACAACGTGTCATCACCAACAGCAACAACAAACAATGAGAAACCACGGCGTGAATAAGATAATAAAATCCCCCCCCCCCTCCCCCAGCAATAGAAACAGCCACACACAAACTATTTTCATTTAGAAAAAAAAAACAAAAAAACTGGCGAGAACAACAACAGCAACATCTCAAACAAAGTAATAATGATAGTTATGATAATAATATGCCTGGGAAGAGAGGAAGAGGAAGGCCAAGGAGAAGATGGGTGCAGGATGTGGCAGATGATCTCCAGATAGGTGTATCAGACGCAGGACATCTTGCTCAGGATAGGAAGGTTTTCCGGAGGGTTGTTATGGCAGCGAGGTTCCGCGAGGGACATGCTACTGAATGAATGATAATAAGGCAACTTTGAATCTCTTCTACCTGTTGTGAACAGAATATAAATGCAGTATTGCAGACATGCAAAAGGATCTAAGGGCCTCTCGAAAACAATACTACAGGGCTCAGCAGAGGGAAAGTGGAGAAGAGGTAGACTAACTAGGACGTGGATACAGAACTTGACTGACCGGAGAGGCTTTAGGCCTGCAAGCATCTGACCGTCAAAGGTAAAGCGAGCTGATCAGTCAACAACAGTTGGTGACCCAACGACGTCTCGTGTTTGCAGTTTATTGTTGAATGTTGAATAAAGAATTGACATCACAGCAACTCGAGGCACTCACATCAGCGCTCCGTCACCAGCTTGAGTAGTAAGCGAAGAGTTTCAATTCCAATGGTGCCTATAACTGTCTTATTGTACATCCGTCTCGCCTTTCCCTTGAGTGCTGAGCTCGGCCAAATCCCTTTGTAAATTCCGGCAACGCCATTCTCCTCAGACCGTAATGATCTATTTGACTCTCCGGCAGTGTTACGAGACGATGATGATAATGTTGACGATCACGTAGTTTTAAGATGGTTCCCCATGCTCCCATTATAACATTTAAGGGTAGTAATTAGAACAGGACATGTCAGGCGCTAAAAATGCCAGGGCTTACGTCCCCTATATCACAAAAAATAATGGTTTCTATTCACACACACACATACATACACACACACACTCATATACACACACTCCCGCGCGCGCACGTGTGTGTGTGTGTGTGTGTTAATTTTTATTCTTTCCTCATGACTGGAGTCGTGTGGAGTTTACTGTCTCAGAAGCCAAAAAAAAAAAAAAGAAAAAAGATCACTTAGAAGATGCCATCGAAGAAATATCTGTAATTAAAATGTATCCTTTCTTTCAAAGTGATGATATAACATTAGTAGTGACTATTTAACGGCGGTTCAACAGTGTTTACTTTTCTACTTCGGCAAATCCTGCAACGTCTTTGACTGTGACCAGTT